ACCCAGGGAGGTGGGACTGGAGCGGCCGCGTGGGCGGGGGCTGCAGCGCCTTGGTACGTGTCTGCCTCCTCCGCCCTGGGAGCGGGGCCTCCGGGTCGTGCCTTAGAAAAGACGTGGGTTGAAGCCGCCAAGAGAAAACTGAGGCTGCTCGAGACATACCAGCAAAGCGTGGGAGACGAATAAAAAGAAAACGGGGTGGGAGTTAGCGACAGCCGCAGGTTAATAACGAGGGATCCGAGTGGGGACGAGGAGCAGAGCGTCCTTGCCAGTGCACGCTGAGTGAGTCGGGAGCCTGTGGGAGACGGGCTGCTGCGACCCTTTAGGGCACTTGCATTCTTATGACTGACTAAATTGGAGACGCATCAACTTTCTTGAACAGTAACTTAGGAGCTGCTGCTTACAAAAGCTTCTGTATCTCTGATTTAGTTAGTCTCTAGGCGGGCCTCCATGCTGCCTTCTGCCTGACTTCAGAGTTAACATGGCTCATGACCCCTCTCTGATACATGGTGCTAGGCATAAAGGACGTGAGTGTGTTTCCACATGGTGCATTGTGCTTTAAGCCCTCCTCTAGCATGGACACCTGGAAATAAGAGTGGTTAGGTGAACCATCACACCTACTGGAGAAGCTTCTTGCTGGGGTCCTAACAAGCAAATTACAGGTCTCCTCCCTAAATGGGCCAGTGTATCTGATTTAGAACCACTGCAGTCTACTAGATTTGGAACCACACATTTGCATTGTACATGGAGTCAGCCACCAGACAGCCTGATTATAAACTTGGTAAAAATCTGTAGAATGGGCACAGGCAGACAAAGTTCTTTGGGTAAATGTGATATCTTTTATTAGACAAACTAAATAGTTGGAAAAACTGTTCTTTGCAAGCTTTCAGGCACAAACACTCTTCTTCAGGCAGAGTGAGAGTCTGCTGGTTGTGCACTCTCCTGGGTAGACTAGCTTACACTAATATGCAAAATGCAGATCTGTGAAAATGCAAATATGGGCCAAGGCAGCAGAAAGGGATCTCGGAATCATAGCTGACTCGGAGATGAACATGAGTCAACAGTGTGACAAAGTAATCAATAGAGCTAACCACGCTTTATCATGCATTAACAGGTGCATCACAAACAGGTCTACGGAGGTGATACTTCCCCTCTATGGCATTGGTGAGGCCACAGCTGGAGTACTGCATCCAGTTTTGTGTGATGCATTTCAAGAGGGATGTGGATAATCTTGAGAGGGCCCAGAGGAGGGCTACTCATATGGTTAGGGGCCTGCAGGTAAGGTCCTACGAGAAGAGATTGAAGGACCTGGATCTCTTCAGCCTCTGTAAGAGAAGACTGAGAGGGGATCTGGTGGCCGTCTATAAATTTGTTGGGGTGGGGCAGCAAGGTATAGGTCAGGGGTGGGCAAAATGCGGCCCGCCAGGCCATTCTATCCAGCCCGCGGGGCCCCTAAAAAGTCTAGAAAATTAATATTTATCTGCCCCAGCTGCATGCCACATGGCCCTCAATGGCTTGCCAAAACTCAGTAAGCAGACCTCTGCCCAGAATAATTGCCCACCCCTGGTATAGGAGGTACTCTGTTGACCAAGATACCCCTTGGGGTTACTAGAAACAACGGCCACAAACTGACAGAGAACAGATTTAGACTAGACATTAGGAAGAACGTCTTTACGGTAACGGTTATGAGAGGCTGGGATGGGCCTCCCAAAGAGGGGGGGGGTCTCCCCAT